CCGTTGCTGCTGCTGCTGCCGTTGTTGTTGCTGCTGCTGCCGTTGAGGCCGCTGCTTCCGTTGCTGCTGCTGCTGCTGCTGGCGTTGCTGCAGGAGGCCAACGTAAAATGCGCGAAGCGTCAACAGGGTGTAGTCTCCTGCTGCTGCTGCTGCTGCTGCAACGGGGCTTTGGCCAGCAGCAGCAGCAGCAGCAGTCGCGTGCTGCTGAGGAAGAGCAGCAGCAGCAGCATCAGCAAACATATCTGCTGCTAGCTCGTGTCTTTGCCCAATTAGCAGCAGAGATTCACATACCTGCGTATACACCCCAAATGCATGCAAAGGGAGAGAGTAGTTATAGCAGCAACAACAAGAACAGCAGCAGCAGCAGCAGCACCTGCAGCAGCAGCAGCAAGAGCAGCAACGTACTGTAACTAGTTGCTGCAGAGACAAAGAGTTACGACAGCGCAGCAGCAGCGGCAGAGCAACACGAATGGCTGCTTGCTTCTGCTGCTGTTGTTGTTGCTGCTGCTGCAAGTCCTTTTGTTGCTCCTGCTGCTCCTGCTGCTGCTGCTGAATAGCTACAGCACTGAGCAGTGCAACTGCTGCTGCTGCTGTTGCTGCATCCGTTGCAGTAGTGTCTAGCTCACAAGCCCTGCAGCAGCAGCAGCACAAACAACAGCAGCAGCAGCAACAGCAGCAGCGATTGCCGCTGCTGCTGCAGTACACCCCGTTACTGCACACCCGATAGAAGGTACCTCTATCCGCCTCTATCTAGAGAGGGTTTAGGGTTTAGTGTCTAGGGTTTAGGGTTTAGGGTTTAGGGTTTAGGGTTTAGGGTTTACCTATTGATGAGGGTTTTATTTAGAGCAGCAAAATCTTTTTTGTCTCTTAATGAGCAGCAAAACTTTTTATTAAATATATCTAAACTAGGCAGCAACTGCTGCTGCTGCTGCTGCTGCTGCTGCTGCTGTTGCTGCTGCTGCTGAGAGGAGCTTGTTACATAGAACTGCAAACTGTTTAACACAAACAGCAACCTGCAGCAGCAGCAGCAGCAACAGCAGCAGCAGCAGCAGCATTAATAATAGTAGTGGAGACAAGGCTGCAGCAGCAGAAAGAGTAGAGACAGCAGCAGCAACAGCAGCAGAAGCAACAACAGCAACAGCAGCAGCACCTGCAGGCAAGCTGTGGGGAGAGAAGGGAAGTTGTTGCTGCTGCTGCTGCATTCTGCTGCAGCAGCAAACGACCGCCACAGAAGCACAAAACCCTCAGCAGCAGCAGCAGCGGTAACCCCGTTGCTGCTGCTGCTTCCGCTGCTGTCGCTGCTGTTGCTGCTGTTGCTGCTGCTGCTGCTGCAGAAGAGCTGTCACGAGGGGGAGGTGCTACCTGCTGCAGGTGCAGCAGCAGCAGCAAATCCGTTGGGGACGGAAGGTGCTGCTGCAGCACTGCAGCAGCAAAATCAGCAACGTGCAGCAGCAGGGAGACTGCTTCCTGCTGCTGCACTTGTTGGTCCTTTTGCTGCTGCTGCTGCTGCTGCTGCTGCTGCTGAATGAGGTGCATGTACACCGCGTCCAGCAGCGTGGCGACCAGGGCCTTAGACGAACCCTGAAGCAGCAGCAACAGCAGCAGCAGCAGCAGCAGCAACAGCAGCAGCATACGCAGCAGCAACAATGGCAGTTATTCAGATGTATTCTCAAAGCAGGAAACAATTATTAATGCGCTGCTGCTGCTGCTGCTCTGCTGCTGCTGCTCTGCTGCTGTTGCTGCCCTGCTGCTGCTGCTGCTGCTGCTTACTGCTGAAGAAAGGAAACTATAAGCCTGCAGCACTATTAGCAGCTGCTGCAGCAGCAGATCTGCTGCTTCTCCTACTATGCGCTGCTGCAGCAGAGCAGCAGACAGCCGCAGGTGCTCATGAAGCCTGGTGCTGCAGGTGCTGCTGCTGCTGCTGCTGCTGCTGTTTGCTGCGGTGGACCAGGGCACGTCATGCAGCAAAACAGGAAAAGATTGGAGGGTTGAATATGCTGCTGCTGCTCCTCCTCCTGCTGCAGTTGCTGCTGTTGCTGCTGCTGCTGCGGGAGCAGCAGCAAAGCGGGCTATCAGCTCCAGCAGCAGCACGCACTCCTCCCTGCAGCAGCAGCAAATGCAGCAACAGTACATGCCCTCACCATTTACAGCAACAGCAACAGCAGCAGCAGCAGAAGCAGCAGCAACAGCAACAGCAGCATCACAACCTACACTGAGAAGTATGCCATCTTTTGCTGCACTTGCTGCAGCAGCAGCAGCAAAAAGTCTGTACTAACAGGGTGTACAACTGCAGCAGCAGCTGCTGCTGCTATTGCGCGCAGCAGCTGCTGCGGCTGCAGCTGCTCAGCTGTCCCTGACAAACGTCGTACTGCACGACGCAGCAAAAAGCCTGCAGCAGCAGCAACAGCAGCAGCAGCAGCAGCAGCAGCAGCAGCAGCAGCAGGAGTCTCCACTTCAGCAGGTAACGACAGGAGGAGGAGCAGCAGAGAAGGCGCAGCAG